AGGAGCATAGTCCTTCCCCGCCCTCTCCGAGGACTGCACTCTCCTAAATCTCCACCGGTTCCACTACCATGAAGCTCTCCTAACCCTGCCTTTGGGGATTCTAGGGGGCTTCATTACCTAGGCATGATTCAGTAAATCACCAGCCACTGGTGACTGGTTCAGCCTCCAGCCCCTCTCTCTTGGGGGAGGGGTGCAGAAATTTCCAACCCTTTAATCACATTGTTGATTCCCCTGGCAACCAACCCCCATCCTTAAGTGTTTTCCAAAAGGGGTTCATTATGAATATCAAGACAACTTGATCACTCTTATCATTTAAAAATTCCAATGGTGCCGAAGCCGGTTTGGTAGAGCGTCGGTCTGTTGACTGAAAGGTCCCGGGTTCGATTCTGGTCAGGGGCATGTACATTGGTTGCGGGCACATCCCCAGTAGGGGATGTGCAGGAGGCAGCTGGTCGGTGTTTCTCTCTCATCGACGTTTCTAGCTCTCTATCTCTCTCCCTTCCTCTCTGTAAAAAATCAATAAAATATATTTTAAAAAATAAATAAATAAAAATTCCAATGGTTTTAGGAGCTCTGTGCTGGAAATGGGGACAAAGATAAAATAGCTATGTACATCATAATATAAATCCCAATGATGTGGGCTCTCTGGAGCAATCCCACATCTTTCTTCCCTCTCAGACCTGCATCTTTACTTTTCTCTTCTATGCTCTAAAGCAGGGGTCTTCAAACTATGGCCCGCGGGCCACATGCGGCCCGCAGAGGAGTCTGATCCGGCCCGCCAGGTTTTTTGGGCAGTGAGCGCAGCCGAGGTGTTACAGTAGGAATTAGTAGTTCATATAGTCCGGCCCTCCAGCTCTCTGAGGGACCGTGATCTGGCCCCCACTTTAAAAAGTTTGAGGACGCCTGCAAAGGTCCTTATGAGACCTGCAACCAGGGGAGAAACAGGCAGCGGCAACTCATCCTGGTCTCACCCCCTGGACCTGACTCGAAGGCCCCCTTTCCTCAGACTGTTCAATGAGCTAGCAGCAGCCGCCCTTGGCTCACTTCTGTCATTGTGACTGTCTTCTCAGTGAGCCCCTGCAGCCCAGTGTGGCTCCTTTCCCATACGTTTCTAGGGAGCCAAAGCAGAGCACCACCCAGGCTCTCTCCTGTGCCTTCTTCTATGGCAAGCCCTTCCTTTGTTTCACTGTCCCCAGTTTTAATAAACAAACCCTCAAAATAATTATTTAAGAACACACACACATCAATCCCAGTAACACAGCAAATAATTCTAAAATGTATCTCTTAATTTCAAACCTTTCCTCTAAGTTTTGGACTCTGTCTTCAATCCTTATATGACATCTCCATTTGGATGCCTCAGAGATATCTAAAACTTAAGAAGACTGAAACAGAACCCTTAATTTCTCCAAAAACCTATTACCTCTACTAGTTGCCCTAGCTGGTTTGGCTTGGTGGATAGAGCATCAGTCTATAAACTGAAGGGTCCCAGGTTCAATTCCAGTCAAAGGCACATGCCTGGGTTGTGGGCTCGGTCCCTAATGTGGGACGTGCAGGAGGCAGCCAATCAATGATTTTTTTTCTCTCATCAGTGATGTTTCTATCTCTCTGTCCCTCTCTCTCCCTCTTTAAAATCAATAAAGATTTAAATAAACAAACAAACAAACAAACAAAAGCTATTGGGTCGGCAAGTAAGTAATTGCGGGTTTCACACATATATGGCTTCAGTTGAATTTTTAGGTTTGCAGACGTAGTAAAAATGTAAAACACATTTTGTTATTTGATAGTTGGCTATTCAGCTGTTAATCAGTAAAAAAAGTTTTTTGATCTGTTTTGTAGTTTTCGTTTGGCGTTCGTTGAAAAATGGAAAATCAAAAGGAACATTTTCGTCATATTTTGATTTTTTATTTCCACAAAGGGAAAAACGCATCGCAAGCTCATAAAAAGTTATGTGCTGTTTATGGTGACGAAGCCTTAAAAGAACGGCAGTGTCAAAATTGGTTTGCCAAATTTCGTTCTGGTGATTTTTCACTCAAAGATGAAAAACGCTCTGGTTGTCCAGTTGAAGTTGATGACGCCCTAATCAAAGCAATAATCAATTCGGACTGTCACAGTACAACACGTGAGATTGCATAGAAGCTTCATGTATCACATACATGCATTGAAAATCACTTAAAACAACTTGGCTATGTTCAAAAACTCGATACATGGGTTCCTCACGAACTGAAAGAATCACAGTTAACGCAACGCATTAGCAGCTGCGATTTGCTAAAGAAACGTAATGAAAATGATCCATTTTTAAAACGACTGATAACTGGCGATGAAAAATGGGTTGTTTACAACAATATCAAGCGGAAAAGATCGTGGAGCAGGCCAGGTGAACCAACTCAAACAACATCAAAAGCTGATATTCATCAAAAGAAGGTTTTGTTATCAGTTTGGTGGGATTACAAAGGAATTGTCTACTTTGAACTCTTACCACCCAACCGAACGATCAATTCTGATGTCTACATTGAACAACTAATGAAATTAAACAATGCAGTTGAAGAAAAGCGGCCCAAATTGACAAATCGAAAAGGTGTTGTATTCCATCATGACAATGCAAGGCCACACACATCTTTGGTCACTCGGCAAAAATTAATGGAGCTTGGTTGGGATGTTTTGCCACATCCACCATATAGTCCTGACCTTGCACCATCTGATTACTTTTTGTTTCGATCTTTACAAAACTCCTTGAATGGTAAAAATTTCAATAATGATGATGATGTCAAATCGTACCTGATTCAGTTTTTTGCTAATAAAAACCAGAAGTTTTTTGAACGTGGGATTATGATGCTGCCTGAAAGATGGCAAAAGGTCATTGATCAAAATGGGCAATACATTACAGAATAAAGTTATTTAGTTCCATGAAAAAATTGTCTTTGATTTTTTTAAAAAAATCCGCAAGTACTTACTTGCCAACCCAATAGTTACTGGCCTTAGCCAATTTGACTCGATGGATACTCGATGTCTGTCGGCCTACGGACTGAAAGGTCCCAAGTTCTATTCCGGTCAAGGGCACAGGCCTGGGTTGCCAGCTTGATCCCCAGTGGGGGGTCTGCAGGTGACAGCTGATCAAAGATTTTCATCATTGATGTTTCTATTGCTCTCTCCCTGATGTTTCTATTCCTTTCTCTCTGAAATCAATAAAAAAATATATTTTTTAAAAAAAGCTATATACTAAAGCTAGAAACTTAATAGTAGTAGATTGCTGTTTCCTCATCATCAAATCCACACCATCAGAAAATCCTGTTAACTCTAGATGTCAAATCCATTCATTTCTCATGACCTCCACTAGCCTTCTATTATTGCTCAACTTGAACTATTATTAACTTTGTAATTCTGATTCCACTCATGATAAAACCTCCACAAGGTCTCTTACCATGACCTTTTGCTATTTTACTTCACAGCATACATGATCACCTGCAAATACTTTATGTACATGTCTGTCTTCCACACAGGAATGCCACAAAGGCAGGCCAGGTGTCCGATGCTCCCCTCTGCACCCCACACACAGTCCCTCAATAACACTTAACACAAACGTTCTGGACAGATGGGGAACTTGACTTTAGTTATTTTATGAGAATATGTCAGTGCTGATTTTCTGCTAACTAGGTTCCCTCGGATATAGGGAAATCCTGCCCTTTTCAAACACCACTGTTGTTCTAATAGTTATCCTTCTCTTTTTTCGTACTCTGCCTTTCCTGGAGAATTCTAAGTATTCAGAGATTGGAATTCCATGCTTAACCTTCATGTTATTCTAGTTAATCTCTTGTATAATCTTGTATACACTGATAGCTATTTTCCTGTGATACAGACTTAGGACTAGGATTCAAATTCTGGTCTATTGACTCCAGAGCCTATAACCACCAGTTTACACTGTCTCCCTTACTTTCTTTCCTTTTTTTCTTTTTTAATTTCTTGAAGAAAAATATAGCTGCTGGTTTCTTCTTTCAACAGCTTATTTTAAAGAAGCAAAAATAGATGTCAGAGAAGGCAGGCAGTTTTTCCTAGCAATGGTAGATTGAAGACTCGAGCCACAACTGTCTATGATCCATGCTTTTTTCATTACCTCAAAGATTCCTAATCAGAGTCTCACAATTCCACAGAACTTTGGAGATCCATGGAACCACTTAGTATTATATGGAAATTTTTATGTCTGTCTACTTAAGTCCATTATTCTGGAAAAATGACCCATAGCTTCTCAAAGAGGCCTGTGATTCCTTAAAGTTAAGGACCACCATGATACTGAATCTCTAAGAAAATGAACATGAACCCAAATATATTTTTTAATATATTTTATTGATTTTTTTACAGAGAGGAAGGGAGAGAGATAGAGAGTTAGAAACATCGATGAGAGAGAGTCATCGATCAGCTGCCTCTTGCACGCACCCCACTGGGGATATGCCCGCAACCAAGGTACAATGCCCTTGACCGGAATCGAACCCAGGACCCTTCAGTCCACAGGCTGATGCTCTATCCACTGAGCCAAATCAGTTTCAGCCCAAATATTTTTTAAAATACATATGATCTACAATGTACAAGCTGTTTGTTGCGGCTGTTGTTGTTTTGTCAATCCTCACCTAAGGATATTTTCCCATTGATTTTTAGAGAGTGGAAGAGAGAGGCAGACACAGAAACATCGATGTGAGAAAGTCATATTGATTGGTTGTCTCCTGCACACACCCCTGACCAGGGCCTGAGATAGAGCCTACAACCTCGACCAGAATCGAACCCAAGACCCTACAGTCCACAGGCCGGTGCTCTGTCTACTGAGCCAAACCAGATAGGGCTGTACAAGATTTTATAAATTCTATTTTAATTCTCACTATACAAATTAAAGCAATACTCTCCAGAAAACATTTTTAGAAAACATCTTATATAATTACCATTTTAACTCTACTTTTTTCTAATGTGTGTATATATTTTAAATACTAAGATATTATATGTAAAATGTGCCTTACACTCTTCAGGCTGGACAGACGAATAGCTCCCAAGATTTAATAACTGAGTGGTAAATGTTGATTGTAGTACTGTCTCACCAACCCAATGATCTTCACAAACAGTAACATCTAGAAAGGGGAGGAAAAAAGTTCTGATCATTACCTAAGTTCCTTCATACTGTCGTTAACTTACCAACCATAGCTAAATAATATGCCTGCCTTCACATACCAGGCAATTAAAGTTCAATATGTTAAATGATCTGCTAAGGCACCAAATGATAAAATAGCAAATCTAAAATCTGACTCTAGGTATATCTGTATGCAGGTAAAATTTTAAAAAATGCTTCTGTATGTGCAAACAGTATCACCAGAGAAGGTCACTGCTCCACAGAGAACATTACTGGCTTTGTTTACATAAGATGCATGCTGCAATGTGCGTTTCTGATGAAAAGAAATCTTCGGGACCACGAAGCAAACAGTAGTTCCGAAGCAGTGGTGCCTAGGAGAGTAAATAGTATCCAGTATGCATTCACCCTCTGCTGCCAACACATGCATATAACACAAGGCATTCTTGAAGGGCTTGGATTAGTTTTCCCTAAAAGCATGGTAATCATCTCTAGGTGTTAAGAGTGAAAGACTTTGGACATAAGGAATGCTTTCTAAAGGGGGAAAAAACAATCGTACATTCTAAGATAGAGAAGAATCATTTAGTGGAACTAAACATACCAACAGGTAGAAAGAATTCTAAATAGAGCAAAAACTGTAAGTTAGAAGCAGAGAGAGACAGACTGATCCCAGGCAGGATAAATTCAGTGTAAAAAATGTTAGAGGTATAAAGCAACTGTTTAGTAGAAACTACTGATAGTTTTCTTTTTCCAAGCTTGTAAGGCTGACCCTCTCCCTCCTCTCTATCACCTTTTCTCTGTAGAATCAACTTCCTCCTGGTTTAAGATTCTCTCTTAAAGTGCCAACAAATGAACTGTAAAAATTATGAACAACAAAAAGACATCAAATACATTCCTACCATCAAGTGAATCTAAAAATCAAGTGAATAAAAAATCTGAAGAACAGAATATAATAGAATCAGGGACATAGAAAGGGAGTGGTCTGACAAATATTAGAGGGAAGGGGGTCTGAGGGGTATGGGAAGAGATTGAACAAAAACCTTACACCTATGGATGAAGACAGGGGTAAGGGCATGGGGTGAGGTGGGGAATCAGGTGGAGGGGAGCTATGGGGAGGGGGGAGAGGAACACCTGTAATAATCTGAACAATAAAGATTTATTATTTTAAAAAATCTGAGGAACAGAATAAACTGGTGAATATAATAGGATCAGGGGCAAAGAAAGGGAGGGGATTGATAATTATCAGGGGGAAAGAGGTGTGGGGGTGCAGTAAGAGACTGGATTAAAATCGCACGCCTATGGATGAAGACAATGACAGGGAGGTAAGGGCAGAGGGTGGGGTGGGAACCGGGTGGAAGGGAGCTATGGGGGGAAAAAGGAGAAACAATTATAATAATCTGAGCAATAAAGATTTATTAAATTAAAAATATATATATTCTCTCTTAAAATGATATCTCTGCTTCAGTACAATGTGTATTGATTTCAAATCAATAAGGAAATGTAGAAATATATTGAAATGACTGATATCTCTGCTTCAGTACAATGTGTATTGATTTTAAATCAATAAGGAAACGTAGAAATATATTGAAATGACTGATATCTCTGCTCTAATACATTGATTTTAAATCAGTTAGGAAATGTAACAAAATATTAAAACTCTTATGTAAGGCAAAAGAGCAGGACAAAAACACTGTGTTCTTTATGATCCTAATAATACTGGTGAGGATTCTGGAGTCCAGGTGAAATTGTCCTAGCTTTGCCACTTCCTAGAAATGTGACATCAGGCACACTTCTCTGGGTTTGTTTCCTCAAACTGAAAAGTGGGAATAATAACAGGACCTTCCTCATTGAGTTGTAAAGAGTTGGTATATATGTAAAGTATAAAACAGGGTTTGATACACAGTAAATTCCCAATAAATATCAGCATTTATATATGCATGCATACAAATTTTAAGAAAGACACCCAGTAACATTCTAAAACTCCACTGGTGGCTATATGAGGTTGGTATGAAAGCAGGAGTTTCCCTTTCCATATTTCCAAATGTGATTAATAGAATATCAATATCTTAAAAGTGCAATAGAAATTCTAGATGGGTTCCCTTAATAAGAATATAATGTGCACAGCATTATTAGGGATTGAGTAAAGTAGTAGAAATGCTGTCTTTTCATCATACAACTGCTAATAGAGTTTAAGAAAAGGATTGGAAATAAGACATACATAGACATACCATAAGAAAACAAAGAAAAAGCCTGATGATGTGACCTAAATGCTAACACAATGAATGAGGAGGAGGAGCAGCCAGGGAAGGCTTGGCAGAGATGAGTGGAAAGGAGGGGCAGAGCTGAGAAGGCTGGGACACAGGCCAGAAATGTCACCGCAGAGAAGGCCAGGCAGCGATGGAGGCCAGCGGGAAGCTGTGAAGGATTGGTCACATGGAGCCCAGACAGGCAGGGGAAGAGGGAGCCCTCCAGCAGGAGGGAAAAGCCTGCAGCTTTATAAACTCACTGCCACTGGTCCACAACGGCCTCACCTGTGAGTAAAACGACGTCTCCCAGGAACACTGTAACGGCCCAAAATGCAGCCATCCTCCACAGAAAGACCCGCCTCTTCGCTGCAGACTGGTCAGTTACCTCAACTGCTGCCAACGGCACTTTAGAGCCCGAATTCGGTCCAGATTTTATACTTATTTCTTTCACATGACATGGAGATAGCACCAGGACCAAACAATTATACTTCTGACTTTTGGAATCACAATTTCTTATTAATGTTGTTTCTTTAATACCCTTGAATTCCGACACACTCCTCTGGTCTTTTGCTGTAGTAGGACCTCCTGCATTAGAAACCAACTTCGTTTTCTTAGAAACGTGACGGACTCTGAGACGGCCGGATTTCCCTTCAGAGGTCCCATTCTGCTTCGTAGGACTTTTGTGGGAAGCATTTACTTGAGAACACAGGATTCCGGACCTACATGGCTCAATACATACCTCATTTGATGGCAGTTTATCATCAAAACCGAAAAGTTCTTGAGATCCCACATTTTCTTTAAGACCTTTACCAGACTTTATGTGAATGTGGCTACTTTTTGTTTCAGGAAAAGCAGGACTGAAAAGTTCAAGGGAATATGCTTGGCTTTGCCTCCTTTCATATCTTTCTACAAAATCATCATCAGGCTGAATCAAATTATCTTCAGTTATTTTTATTTCCCCAGGACTTGCTTCAGCTTCCACCTCCGTGTTCACTGTCCTTTTATTTATAGAACTCTCCCCTTCATTTGTCCTTTGAGCTAAAAAGGCAAACTGGCTGGAGGTCATTACACTGAGGAATTCCGTTTCAGTAGATGTCGTAAGGTCCAAGACCTTCCCGACAGCTCCCGCAGCCCTGGGCTTACCTCGTGTGGCCAAAGAGCTCTTTTCCAGACCCCGGTTCTGAGTTCCATGATGCTCTGTTGGCATACACCTCATGCCGATAGCTCCTGGCCCTGTATTAATCTGCTCAGTATTACACACCAAATCCCAAGCAGCTGCACACTCATGGTCTAACTGAAACAAATGTTTTTGGACATTTTGACTACACATATGTGATTGCTGTTTATGCTGTTCAACTGTGATTTTCTTATTTTCACTGAAAAGCTTCTGACATTCTTCCTCTCCAGTTAAATGCTGAACTCGGCCCTTACATTCACGTATTTGGACATCAGATTTAGTTATGTCACTCATCCCTAAGGGGTAACTCTTCTGGAATTTTTGAGTCTGTGTTTCGGAAATACAGAATATACAGTCATCTTTCACAGAAACAGATCTACTCAGAGAGCTTCCTAAAAAATGACCATTAAGAAGATCTGGAGGGGCAGCTGCTTCTAGGATTTGATAATCTTCCACATTTTTATTTTTGCATTTTTCATCCTTCAGATGTAAAGAATGTTGATTGTATAAAAGCTGAACTTTTTTCCAGGGGTCAGTAGTAGATATTAAAGAAGTTGGTTCCTGTGATACCATCATTTTCAATGGACCACTTGGAGCACCCCAAAAAATGTGGATTTCAGAGCCTTTATTCATGGTTTCTAAAAAAAATGAAAAATCTAAAATTAGTATTTTATCAGATTTTTATATTTTGCACAGGGTGAGGAGGAGGGTGTCCCTCAGCCTGGCCTGTACCCTCTCCAACCTGGGACCCCGCAGGGGATGTCTGACTGCCAGTTTAGGCCCAATGCCTGTGGGCAGTTGAACATCCCTCTCACAATCTGGGACTGCTGGCTCCTAATCACTCACCTGCTTGCCTGCCTAATTGCCCCTAACCACTCTACCTGCTGGCCTTCTCACCCCCAACTGCCCTCCCCCACCAGCCTGGTCACCCCCAACTCCCCCCCTGCCAGTCTGCTCACCCCAACCCCCCCCCCCTCCATTAGCCTGGTCGCCCCCAACTGATCCCCACTGATGGCCTGCTCATCCCCAACTGCTCCCACCCACTGCTGGCCTGATCACCTCCAATACCAACCCCCGCACCAGCCTGATCACCCACAACTGCTGTCCCATCCTGGCTTGATCACCCACAACTGTCCTTCCCTCTTGGCCCCTAAATGTCTCTACCTCTGACCCTACCACCATGGCTTTGTCCAGAAGAATGTCTGGAAGGTCTCCTGGGAAGTCTCCCAGTCTAATTAACATATTATCCTTTTATTAGTATAGAGGACTGGTGCATGGGTGGGAGCCGGCTGGTTTGCCCTGAAGGGTATCCCTGATCAGGATGGGGGATCCCTTGGCGGGGGGAAAGCCTGGGCAAGGGGCTGAGGCAGTTTGTAGGCCAGCCATAAGTGGGCCAACAACAATTAAGACTCAAAAACAATAGGAAGGTTCACATAACCCACACAAGGGACATTCCTGAAGCACCTAGCTCAGGAAGTGGGAGACTAAGCTACTGAGCCCCACAAGACACCAGATGAAGACTGGGAGGGATAACAGATCTACCTCATACATAGAAACAAATACAAAGAGGTGGCCAAAATGAGGGGGAAAAGAACCAATGCCCCAAATGAAAGAACAGGAGGAAAGAAAAAAAAAAAAGAACAGAATAAATGGAGTTAAACAACTTACCAGATGGAATTCAAAACAATGATTGTGAAAATATTCAAGGAACTTAGTGAGAAATTAGACAGAGAGATACCAAACACCTTAAAAAATATATAAAACATGTAAAAGAACCAGTCAGAAGTAAAAATACAATATTGGAAATGAATAATGACTAAAAGGAATCAACAGCAGGCTATATGTAGCAGAAAACTGAATCAGCAACTTGAAAGACAAGGTAACAGAAAATAACAATCAGAAAGAAATACTTTTTTTTTTCCTAAATATGGGACAACATGAAGTGTGACAACATCTGCATCATAGGTATTGGAAGAAGAAGAAGAGAGAGCAAGGAATGAAGAATCTATTTGAAGAAATAATGATTAAAAACTTCACTAGCTGGTGAAAGAAAAAGGCACACAGGTTTAGGAAGTGCAGAAATCCCAAACAAGATAAATCCAAATAGGCTCACAGAAAAATACATCATAATTAAAATTATAAAGGTTAAAGACAAAGAAAGAGTTTTAAAAGCATCAAAAGAAAAGCAGTTACTTACTTACAAGGGAGGTCCATAAAACTGTCAGCTGATTTCCCAAAGAAACTTTGCAGGCCAGAGGGATTGACATGAAATATTCAAAGAGATGAAAAACAAGTACTTATAACCAAGACTACTCTACCCAGTAACATAAAATTAAAGATGAAATAAAGAGCTGCCCAGACTAGCAAAGCTAAAGAAATTCATTACCACAAAACTAGCTTACAGGAAGTGTTAAAAGGTCTTTAAAAAGATAAGAGCCCAATTGGTGTGGTTCAGTGGTTGAATGTCAACCCATGAACCAGGAGGTCATGATTTGACTCCCATTCAGGGCACATGTCCAGGTGGCAGGTTCAGTCCCCAGTAGGTATGGCATACAGGAGACAGCCATTCAATATTTTTATCTCACATTACTGTTTCTTTCTCCCTCTCTCTTAAAAATCAATTTTTAGAAAGCTTTTTTTAAAAAAGAGAAACACAGAGAATCCAAGATGGCTACACAGGTAAACACTTAGCCGCAGCCGCACACAACAATTTCAATAAAATACAACTAAAATATAAAATGGACATTACCCAGAACTACAGGAAAGTCGACTGACTGGAAATTCTACAACGAGAAGCAAGGAGAAAACCAGAAGGAAGAGCGGAGGAGCTGTAAAAGCCTAAGGTACGGAGACACGCAGCGAGCGGAGAGGACGGAGCGGAGAGGAGGGGAGGCTGAGTGCTTGGCTGGCGTTCCCTAACGGGAAGGAGATAAAAGCTTCGACTGTGCTGAACCCCAGACCCAACAGTGCTGAACCCCATTTCTAGGCCAGACCCTGGGGACCCAGGCTCAAACAGAGAGAGCCTGGGCTATGAGGCAGAATACCAAGGGAGCGGCGAAAGGCAGAGCCCCTGGAGACGCGCACATTGTGCACAGAGGACGGACTGTTGACTCTGCTACTAGATTGCCCTGGCGGGAAGGAGACAAAGGCTCCAGACTGTGCTGGACCCCAGTTCTGACTGCTCTGAACCCCAGTTCTAGGCCAGCCCCCGGGGACCCAGCTCATACAGAGGAAGCTGGGCTGTAAGGTGGAACCCCGGCGGAGCGGCGAAAGGAGGTCCCGGAGGCGCACACATTGTGCACAGAGAAGGGACGGTTGGCTATGCCGTGGGATTGCCCTGGCAGAAAAAAGACAAAAGCTCCAGACTGCTCTGAACGCCACCTCCAATTCCACTTCCAACTGAACTGAACCCCAGTTCCGGGCTCATTGAGGGAGAGCCTAGACTGTTTGGTAGCAGGCGAAAATCGAGGGCACCTTTCTCTCAGAGGTGCTTGCAGCGAGTACTGAAGGACCCTGGGGAATACTGAGACTCAGGAGCTGCATAGGGCGGGGCTGATGGAAGCCAAGACTGTAGGCTCCACCCTGAAACTCCGTCCCATCAGGGAAGCTGCGAAAATGCTGAGACAAGAAAATAGATCACAAACGAAAGAAATGGAGGACAAAAAGCAACTGGATATAGAGTTCAAATCTACGCTTATAAGGTTTTTCAAGAATTTCCTAGAAAAGGGCGATAAGACCTATGAGGATATGAAAAGGAATCAACTAGAATTAATAAGGAATCAACAAGAAATAAAGAATACATTGTCTGAAATAAAAAATATTATACAGAGTCCAAAAACAAAATGGAAGATCGCAAGAATCAAGTCAAAGATTTGGAACATAAAGAGCCAGAAGACACTCCTCCGCAGAAGCAAGAAGGCAAGAGAATCCAGAAAATTAAAGATAATGTAAGAAACCTCTGGGACAACTTCAAGCGAACCAACATCAGAATTATGGCGGTCCCAGAAGAAGAGAGAGAGCAAGATATCGAAAACATACTGAAAGAAATAGTGACAGAAAACTTCCCCCACCTGGTGAAAGAATTACACTTACTGGTGTGCACTAAAGTCCAGGAGGCGCACAGAACTCCAAACAAAAGGAATCCAAAGAAGACCACACCAAGACAAATCATACGGTAATTAAAATTTCAAGAGCAAAAGACAAAGGAAGAATATTAAAAGCAGCAAGAGCAAAGCAGGTAGTTACCTATAAAGGAGCACCCATCCAATTGTCAGCTGATTTCTCAACAGAAACCATGCAGGCCAGACGGGAATAGCAAGAAATATTCAAGGTGATGAATAGTAAGAACCTACAGCCAAAAATAATCTACCCAGCAAAGCTATCACTCAGAATCGAAGGCCAGATAAAGAGCTTCACTAATAAAAAAAAAAAACTAAAGGAGTTCATCACCACCAAACCAGAAGTATTAATATATGAATTGCTGAAGGGTGTTCTTTCAGAAGAGAAAGTAAATAAAGATAAAAATTATGAACAACAAATACATAACTATCAACAAGTGAATCTAAAAACCAAGGAAATTAAAAAAAAAATCTGATGAACAATATTAACTGTTGAATATAATAGAATCAGAGGTATGGAAGGGGAGTGAACTGACAATTCTCAGGGGAAAGGGGAGGGAGGGTGTGGGAAGAGACTGAACATAAACTGTGTACCTAAAGGGCAGAGGGTGAGGTGGGAACCTGGTGGAGGAGAGCAATGGGGGGCGAGGGGAGAAGAACATTTGTAATAATATGAAGAATAAAGATTTATTTAAAAAAAATAAAAAATAAAAATAAAAAGAGAACACAGTTATAAAAAATAACATGGCAACAAACATGTTCCAATCAGTAATCACTTTAAATGTAAATAGATTAAATGTTTCAATCAAAAGACATAGAGAAGATGAATGAATAAGAAAAGACAGCCCAGCTGGTGTGGCTCAGTGGTTAAGCATTGATCCGTGAACCAAGAAATCCCAGTTAGATTCCCGGGCAAGGCACATAACAGGGTTGTGGATTCGATCCCCAGTAGGAGTGTGCAGGAGGCAGCCAATAGATGATGTTTCTGTCAACATTCATGTTTCTATCTGCCCCTTTCCCTTTCTCTCTAAAAATTAGTAAGAACATATTTTTTAAAATAATTAAGACAACCATATATATGCTGTCTACAAGAGACCCAACTCAGAAGAAAAGATTATACACAGACTGAAAGTAAAAGAATAGAAAAAATATTACATGCAAATGGAAACAAAAAACCCTACATAGGTTAATAATTCTTATATCAGGTGAAATAGATTTTAAAACAACAGCTATAAGAGATAATTTTTTAACACTTCATTGCCATCAATGCACAGATGTTCCACACAGAAAATCAACAAGGAAACAGCACCCTTAAACAACACAATAAGTCAGATGGATTTAACTGACACTTTCAGAGCATTTCATTCCAAAGCAGTAGAATATACATTCAAGTGCACATGGAACATTTTTAGTACAGACTACATGTTGGAACACAAAATGACTTTGAATACATTTTAAAAGATTGAAATCATATCAGTTTCTTCTCTGACCACAATTGTATGGAATTAGAAATCAATTAC